AATCCTCACAACGAGCATGATGCTGCTCTGCTCTCCATTTCACAGAGGGGGAAGTCGAGGCTACAGAATAGGGTGGGCAAACGCAGACTGAGACAGGGACTGACAGGAATTCCCTGTTTCTCGAGCAATCCAGGTTTCTCATCGTAATTTTGATCGCAGATTATGAACGGGCTGCCTTTTAAAAAAAAATCTGAGTTTTAGTAAATAGGATATGGTTTTCATTTTGTTTTACAGCTTCAGTCAATAATTAAGAAAGTGATCGCCCACTTCCATGATTTCTCAGTTCTTTTCTCAGTGGTAAGTGACTTTCCTCAATTATCTTTGGAAATTTGTATCTGAGTCAGAGGTTCCCTGAGCGGCTCAGCCGTTTTTTTTTTTTTTTTTAAGTCAACTCTGCCACTGCAGCTTGAAAGCAGCCACAGACAGTACGTGAGTGAGCACGGCTGTGAGCCAGTAAACTCCATTTACACCCACCGAAATTTGAGTCTCTAGTGCCTGTTACGAAATGCTGTTCTTCTTTTGGCTTGACTGTAAAAACCGTTCCTAGGTCACGGGCTGTATAAAAACAGGCATCGGGCTGGATTTGGCTGTGGTTGGCCGACTCCTGATACACACGACAGAAGGGAAGTGGCCATTGGGTCACCTGGCTTGTAGGGAGCAGGTTTCTGCTCTTCCCACAATGCCTCACTGGTCTCTGCAGCACCCAGGGAGGGGCCTGGGACAGGCAGGTGGAGAGGGACTCGGCCGAATTCGCCAGCACCCAGGGCAAACGTGGAGAGTGCAAAGCCCCGGAACCTGTTTCAGTCCTGATGTGGCGTAGACGCGGCCTCCTTTAGGGCTGTGACATGGGAGGGACTTTTTTCCGCGCGTAACATTTCCAGCAGAGCATTCGAAACTATTTTCTGGAAGGTGTGTGGTATATTCTAAAAACGTTCGTCCTTTTCCCCCAGTAAAATGGTCGCCGACCACCACTCAGTGTCTCATACAGGTTTCCTCCGTTTTCCCCACTCAGAAACGCGAGGTCAACACCGTGCTGGCTGACGTCATCAAGCACATGACTCCGGACCGCGCGTTCGAGGACTCGTACCCGCAGGTAGCAGACTCGCATGTCTCACGCCCACACTGTTGGGGATTTCGTTCCGTTGAGTGAAAATGGCAGCATGTCACATGGGTCAGGCCATGAAGTCTGAGTCCCGGCCCTGCCGGATCGTCCTCGCGTGCCCTTTACTCAGTGACTCAGCCTCGTGTCTTGGTTTTCTCATCTGTGAGGGGGGTGACAATGGTCCTGTCGGAGAGGCTGCGAGGATGCCGTGTGGGAAACCCGGGCACAGTGGCTTGGCTATAGTTAGGCGCCTGTGGTTTTCAGTTAAACTAACTCTTTTATTTGGGAAAAAATGGAAGTTTATTGGAATGTTGAAAGAATAGCTCAGAGCAGTCCTGTTATTCTTTACTCAGATTCACCAACTGTTAACTTTTCCATCTTTGTGTTATCGTTACCGTTATGTGTACACACATATCTATGCACGTATGTGCATGTAAATTTTTTTCTGAATCATTGGAGGACACATTGCGTATATCATGCCACGTTGCCTCTGAATTGTTTAAGCGAGGCAACCCTTGGTTGACCTCACAGATTGCAAGGACCTTGTCAGCTTACAATTCCTTATTTTTCACACCTACAGCACCTGGTCTTCCTGGGTGGTCTCGTCTCCAAGTACTAACCAGGCCCCACCCTGCTTAGCTTCCGAGATCAGACAGGATGGGGCTTGTTCAGGGTGGCATCACCATAGACTTTTATGCAGCGATTTAATAATCATAGTTTATTTTTTTTCTTTGTTTAAATAAAATTAGATATATTTCAAGGGTGTTTTTCCTTCACTGGTATTATTAATCCAGACAGAGGTTTAGCCTAAAATGCTAAAATAAGTTACTCGATTTATTTATGTACCAGGAAAAAAATAATTCATTATTAATTTATTCAGTATTTTAACTGATATCTTTTACAGTTTTAAAATTAAAAGTCCTTTAAAATAAATATTGTAACTTCTTTTTCTTAGTACAAGAGGAAACCATATTTATTGTAAAAATTTTAGAAAATACAGTTAGCACAAAAAACTGTAAAATTACTAATTCAGTCCTTGTTATTTATATTTTATTGC